AAATGTTAAAGTAGGTACTTAAACTACTAATTTTTAATCAAGCACAGCTACAGTATATAAAAGTGAACTGTACGTACATATATTGGCTGAATTGTACATAATTTATACAAATTAATGAATCATAGAGAAAAATTAATGTACCATAATAGATATCATAAAATATAGTCGACAGAATTTTGATTAAACTTTTATTTTATTTTGAATAAACTTTTATTTCAAAAATGTTAAAGTAGGTACTTAAACTAGTACTTCTTAATCAAGCACAGCTACAGTATACAAAAGTGAATTGTACGTACATATATTGGCTCAATTGTACATAATTTATACAAATTAATGAATCATAGAGAAAAATTAATGTATCATAATAGAGAAAATACCCAGAAGCTCATAGAAACATCTTGATAAATCTTAGAAATCTCGCGAGAAATGGAAATAATAAACAAAAGCTAATTGTGTGCATATAGGCTCAATAATATATCGCTTGTCCGAAGAGAAATTAATGTAAAAGATATTTAGAAACTGATGGGAATAACTTGATAAGTTCCACGAGAAACAGAAACGACGTAACGAGGAAAGAGAAGATCGGAAATAACACAGCGTTTCTTGAAGAGAACGGTGAGAACCTGTCCATCTAAATTACAAGATATAGTTCGTTTCACGCGCGCTGCAGTTTACGTTCGCGCTGAAAACTGCGAGAAGCCGAGGACGTGATTTTAACGAAAACCTGCACAACTTCATCTCGAAGAGGAGCTAATAAAGAAAACAGGTTCTCCCTGGAATCGCGATTATCTAGGATACGTTCAGCTAGGGACATTGATTCTCCAAATACATTCACGCGACGAAGAATTTCCTATTAAAAATTCGAAGACTTTTCCCCAGAAAAATTATCGTGCACTGAAACGCACAATTTTCAGAGTTCCATAAGGGAATGGTTGCTCTTCATTCAGATACATATGTAATGACAATATTACTGCCATGAAATCCCTCGTGAAAGCAATCAAACGAGTCGACGAGTTTCACGAGGTGGATATATTGGCAAAATGTATATACAGTACGTGCATTATACGAAAATGAAGGGTATTACGTTTTCTAATTCAACTTCTCAGAACTCCGACCTCAAGCTCGACTCAGTTCCCAATGTTTCAAACTTAACTCTCAGATGGAAAATAAAATTTTGAGATCTTTTTAAAATACATTTTTTTTTTTAATTGTTCTAGACGTTCAAGAAAATGTAAAAAAATTTTGCATTATTTGATAAAGTCGTTGCTATATTATACAACCGAGTCTCTGAAAGATTTCTCAACAAGAACGAACATTTGCCGCGAAGAAATTCACGAGTTTTCGCTCAGGGCGTCCAAGTACTTGCTCGTAGATGTTTGAAAAAATAAACTCTATATAAAATCCAACCATGTTATCCGTCTGATCATTAATTAATAATCTACGCCACGCTGCAGGAAATCGAAGAATTAAAACTCCCCCACTGGCGAGAAGAAACGAGCCCTCATCGCGTCTCGATCACACGGAAGAGAATCCGGAATATTCTCGAGATAGACGTGGTAACTCCCTTCGTCGAGTTCGCACACGCTCGAACCACAGGCGGAAGGAACGCGGTGATACGATCGATAACCGAGTGCAGCGAAGTCTCGAAAAAAAAGGAAAGAAAAAAAAATGGTTGCTTTATCTTAGCAAGTGGAGTTTAAAGGAAAACGGAGTTTGCCACGCGGTGAAAAAGAAGAAAGAAAAAAGCGATCGCTGAGGGTGAAAGCTGCAATCGTGCAAAGAGGGGGTTGAGAAACTCTCACGAGCGAGCGAACGAATCAATCGAGTCGATTTATCGGTGACAGAATCCTCAATTTTTCTCTAGATTTCCATTAAAAACGTCTTCAACGCATCGTGAGACACTCACGGACATAAGTTGCTCATTTGATCGATGAAAAGTTTCGAGAAATAACGTTGGTTTGTCTGGGGAAAGTACAGCAAAAATATAGTTAACAGTATTTTATGCGAACTCCATTTATTCGACGTGTCTTCAGAATTTCATTTCGACATTTAATTTTAGAAATTTCATTTGTAACTAAGCCTCGCCTAAACCTCCGCGCGATTAATACGATTCGCAAATTTCCTTAATAACAGTAAATGGACTAAATTTTTATTCAATTAGTTTTAGGCATAGTCGTCCAATTTTTTGCACAATTTACAATGTATGAAAAATGTATCAAATTGACAAGAAGGAAAGTGAAACAACTATTAATTATTGAAAGAAAAAAACGAAAAACGCCTCTTTCAAACACGATTCATAATTACACGAATATTTTTACATTTTTCTCAGGCAAACCACGAATCTGACAGGAGTTTAACCTCAATTTCTTCCTAGACACAGGTTTCAATTTGATTCGAAGTTTCTAGAACGAACAATTTCAGAGTCAGACATTCGAAGAATCTTAGCGATAACCTGAACGAAGATTAGACGTGCTCCGTCATAATACCGTAACTTTATTACGGCTATTAGAACTTCGGTACAAACATCTCTGAAGATTAATAACGGAATGCATTGTGGGTTGAATGTGGCAGGTGCGTCTAACGTTTCAGCTCGTGGCTTGAAAATTATTGACGGAATACAATTGCCATTTAATCGATATTAATTATGCACTCCCATTAAAAGCGTTCAAGTGTTGATTTTAGCTAACGTTTCACACGAGTCAATAATCAATGGAACATTGCATGAGAAACCAATTTATATTTTTCTGATTAAAATGAGAAACAATTGTACATTGAGACAATATATGAAAATCTACAGTGGATGTTTATCCGTAATAAAGTTGACAATTTGTTGTCTGTAATACGAGCAAAATGGAAACGAAAGGAAAAACGAAGAAGACGAGGGGGAAGAAGAATGGGTAGATAGTGAGCTGCATCGAAAGGAGCGATTTGTTTATCAAAAGAAGCGCGCTTACGCTACCGGAACGAGTGCAATGACGGGGAAGGAGTGTTTGAAATTCTCTTAACTCCTTCGCCACGCTGGTATGGCGCTGAGGTAAAAAGATTTTCAGGCGTGCTTTGAAGAATTTTAAGCCCAACTCATTAGGATAACGAGACAGGCATCCAGTGCCTGTGACACGAGACCTATACGCGTGCAAACGTGCCTGCTTCGTATTCACAATGCGACAAAGCCGAGAGCTCGTTCGTGTGCACGAACACACGCGAACGCGGAAACGCGTGGTACTCTTCGTTATCGGTATGCAAAGTTCATATCTTTTGCGATCGTCTCTGTAATCGATTATTGAGCGCGATCATAATAATTGCAATCGTTGATCGATGAATCGGTAATTATTAACCCCTTGTCGCGCACGTCGAGAATTCTTTTGCCCCAAATTGCAACATTATCTCAGTTCCAAGTATATTTAAATGTTAACCCAGACAAAACAAATGATGAGTTTATTACCTCTTGATAATTTCTATCCTCAGTGATATCATACCGACGAGTTCAATGGAAGAAGAAAGCGAGTTATTGTATACGGTTCGGGTCACTCGTTATGGTCCGCGAACCAGTTGCCAGCGCAATCGGTTAAATGAACTTTTTAAATCGTTCAATCGACTAATTTATATTTCATTAGTGAAATAATCTGATCGAACAAAGTACAAATGGTTGATTTGCATTTTATTAGGATTAGTAACGTGTGTTTGGATGAATAATTGTTTATAAAGTTTCTCGTGTCGAGTAAAATCAATTTGTCGAATTTAGAACTTCACGTATTAAAATATTTACTTTCACACGTGATTAAAAATCTAACAAAGTTCTACAAATGCCAACATTTACAAAATTATTTTTATCACACGACGAAAAATTTAATGAAAAATTTGCAAATTATCCGATACCGAAAACATTTTCATTATAAACATAAAAGAAAATATTGCAAATGTGTACCTCCAGAGAATGATCTCCTTTTAGAGAACACGTCGTTGTAAATCTACAAAATTTCGACGAAGTTTCAAAATTCATTTCGACCATTTTGGCGGTTTCAGCGTGAATCGGATTACATTTTGCCCAACTCTGCCGTGTCGGAACTGATTGAGAGATTACGAAACGTGCGATCGTCCATCAATTCAAGAACGACCGGTGTAAAACGACGTAAATTTTAGTTAACTGCACAATTGAATTCCATCTCCTCGGTTGTAATAGCCAAGGAGAACGGCGTAGTACTGTTAGATTCTCGTAATAAACCCCGATACCGATCGCCGTGTCTCTCTAGCTCGCGTTTGTTTCCTACGCGATTAATCGTTCGGCAATTCAAGTCGAGGAGAAATAATGGGGTGGAAAATTGTGAGGTGCGTGCTATTGTTTGAAAGCGGGAAATACGCGAATTAAAGATTAATTGCTGCATCATGCTGTGAGATATTATGGGATAGCGTAGTCACGTTGACGACGACGACGATACAGGATAAATGAGTGTAATTTAATTTCTATTAATACTGCTGTAACGAGCAAGTATAAAACAAATACTAATAATACGAGATATGAGGCGTAGCAAGTATAAAACAAATACTAATAATACGAGATACGAGGTGTGATTTATGGAAGGAAATTTATTTTCTTTATAATTTCACAGATCTCTATCGTTGTTGCGAAGTTTCTCATAATTTATTGCAGCGGGTGTTAATAACCTTCACGTGTTTGTCAATGCAGGATCAATGAACTCTCCTAACCCCCTTTCGTGATATATATATATATCGCAGTTGATTAATTAAGAAGATAATTTCTACTAAGATCGATTTAAACGTGTGTCGAAGAAAAAAGCATTGAACGATGTAATTCACACATAATATCGTTTCATCCGCAACAACCTGAACGTCCAAATACACGAAGTTCAAATAGAAACGTCACCCCAAAGGTTCGAGGCCGGATGAAATTATTCGAAAGAGGGGAAGGAGCTGCCACGATGTCGAGGGTAGTTGGCGAACTAGCCTCGGACAACGTGACAAGATAAATTCAATCTGCTCACCTTGTGATCTCTTCGATGAGTTTGCAGGGGTCCGCCGCGTAGAATTTCACACCGAAGTAGAGGGTGTGCACGTCCGAGCTCGGATCTCCTTTTTGCACCTTCAGCTGCTTGCCGATCTTCTTGCTCGGGTCGAGCCATTGCTGCAAACGTGCACGAACAACACGGTCGAGAATTACTTCTAAATAATTAATCGGCCGGCCTCGATCGAGGCACGTTTACGCCTGAAACTCGTTGATCAAGCGAACCGGAAATTGCAAGCAGCTTGACATTTCCCGTGGATAATAATCCTATCCTCTTATGGCCCCGGGGCCGATGCAATCGGCTCCCACCGAGGGCCAAGCCTACCCATGAATTTTTCATTATCGATATCTAATTAACGGCAAACTGTTTGACATCCAGCCCTTGATCATGCCCTTGTTCGCTTGGAATCACGTTAAAGACTTATATGCCATCGTAATTATATATTTGGACGACGTACCAATTAGACTGAATAATTATATTTTATCGTAATTTCGTATACTTGGAGGGAATTCGATTCGATTGGATAATTTATATTTCTGTCACACTCTCAACTTTCATTGGTATTGTATTATACAGTTTTCTCTAGCAGTATGATATAAAATTCTATTGTTATTAATCTAAAGTAGTTTTTAGATTAATAATAATAGAATTTTATATCTTAAATGATAAAATTAAAATTCTATTATTCTTAAAATTCTATTGTTATTAATCTAAAGTATTTGACTATTTTACTATTGTTATTAATCTGAAGATTTTTAAGTTACTAATTTAAAGTATTTAATTAAAGTATTGTAATTATCAAATATTATTTCTATCGTCAAATACAACATTTATTAACGAGGGCAAGAGATATGGGAAAATTAGAGAATTAGAAAATGAAAATGGTCATTAATGATAGTGTACCTCACATTCTCCGTACGTATGAGATTCTAATTTACAAACGTCAAATGGAAAAAGATCTGAATCATGAAACGTGAATGAAATGTAATAACTCCGAAAAAAAAGATTTCAATCACGAATGAAATGCAATCACGACATAAACGTACTCTCCCGCTAACGAATTCAACATATCCGAAGTCACGTCGACTGATGCATAAATATCAAAACGAAAATGTTGGCGAATGCTATCTCTACCTAGTGTATGCACCTCGTGATCTTGATCGAGTCGATACGGAACGAACATCGATAGAATCAACGTTCTTACCGTTTGATTGCCGTGATCCAGGTAACGTAGCCCGAAGTAAGCGGTCTCCAATAAATTCAGGTGCCTGAATACTCTGTCCAATAGTTCCTGGCCGAGGTTCGAACTCTGGAAAATAGAGAGAGAGAGAAAGAGAGAGAGGGAGTTAGATAGAGAAAAATGAGCGATGTTTGATTTATCGCGTAAATAACAATGCCGACGTTGGCGACACGAGGCGAAATTACTTCCTGAACCGATCTACATTAGTATCAGCGCGGCGACATTCGATCAGCGCTCGATCGAGCGTGGCTCGATTTATATCGTGATGCGCACGCGTCATTGAGCACGTCGTTCCAGCTGCATTAGAATGCATTTATATGCCTTTGCATTCGAGGATCAACGATCTATCGATGCTGGATCCAAGGGGGATGTTGCGCGACACGTTTCATAACGGTTCCCTCCCCGGCCACAAAACCGATTTCCATCTGCGATTCCAGCCTGAGAACCACCGAGCAATCTGTCATTACTCTCGCGCTAGGCTTTCGTTTTTCTAGCCACGCGCACGTGGGATAATTAACTTCTGCCCGTATCACCGATAGACTACCTGATACTTGGGATTACTCTGTTACACGTGTGCGGTAGGATGTAATGGAATTTCAAATGGAGCTAACTCGATTCTCCTGATCTCTTGTTTCTGCGTGACAGAAACATACATAAAGCCGTGCGACAGTCTATAGTATGTTGATGTTCGAATTTTCAAATAGAGATTTTAGGGATTTTATTTATTAATTGTGGCTACACTTGAGGTAATTGAAAAGTAACTTTGTTCTCTACGCAATTGAACGTTTTATAATTATTATAAATCGTTTTGATAGTTATATGGAAATTTCATGCATTTTATAAATTTTTTTCACGTTCATGTACATATGTACAGTTTCGTATTTCATAAATGAATAAAAAAAAAAAAATCGCGTAAACGAATATAAGAAACGATGATTCAATTTTAATTAACTTGAATTTTAATTAAGACTCGTACAATTTCCAAAAAACCTTTGTTTTTCTATTTTAAATATAAATATATGGAATTTGACAGACGCATATGTAGATGTATAACTTCTGCGTTCGACTGTAACAGACATATTAAATCAATTTTAATTTCTCGTTGATGCTTCGTGTTTTTTCTGCGTTTCCAACATTCACTATATCTTTTTTATTTTGATAGAAATGAAAATATTCTTGTTACACGATACACCTACATAACCAGAATAGAAATTGATTTTCAGCATGTAGATTTGAAAAATCTCAACAACCATAATTTATTTTAGACAGACGCGCGTTTCAGTTGTTAAATTATAATGATTATATATTGTAACGTTATTCTTTGAATAATGATTACGTATTATACATATTCCTTTACACATGGATCATACGTATCCATACGTAACATACGTATAATAAGATAATAGGTATTCGTAGCTTATCGTATAAAGTTATTTAGTTCGCTGACAACTTAACGTGTCTAACCGTGATATACCGTTCGGTGCCCCATATGCTCGATAATATCCTCGCATAGCTCTCCATTAAAACTTTCACTTCGAATATCTCAGCAATTAGCATACCAGACTTCCAAGAATGAAACATTTTTCTAGAAACACGAAATAAATATTTTCGATTCGATCAAAGAATGAATAATAACTTATTATTCTTACCATCGTCCAACACATGTAACATAAAAAATTATTCGATTGGCGTAGTTTGATTTTGACATCATGGCATCAAAAAGCCATAGTTGGTTGTAATTATAAAAGAGAAAACGTATGAATTAATACATAAACTATCAAGAAAATTAATTATTAACACTAGAACTACCAAAATGGCCAAAATGACCATTCGAATATTTCTGTTAAATATTTTATAGATATGAAACAGTATATTCTTGGAGACTCGAACTTCATAAAATACATAAATAAAAGTTTGTGTATCCTGTTGTACTACAAAGATTTTCTGTTTCATTTATTTTTAACGTCTCTGATGGAAATTTTATGCTTTGATAGTCGGTAATTCTAGCGTGAAATTGTATCTACGGTTCCCTGTTTTCACGATTAATTCGTCTCGATTCAATCTCGCAAAATACAAAACCAAAAGAAAAAAAAAAAAAAAAGATCAAAGACAATGGAGGAAGAAAGAGGAGAAAAATTCGAGCAAACGAATTGGAGAGAGGGGGGGATGGAATAATCACACGGGGTGAAGAAGGGAGGAAAGATCGGGGATAGTTTGCCGCATCGACTCGACGTCGATTTAACCGCGGGACATCCAGCCGGTGAACCGAGATTGAAATCGCCGGTTTCCGGTTCCCAGTTGGCTCCGTGGCTGAGCCGTGACGCTCGTTTGTTCTCCTTCGGGGGAGAACTAACGGAGATCCACGACGCGTGTTTTCGTACTCGATCGTTCGTTCCTTACGAGATACGGGCTGCGCGTACGTTCTTCTCCCCGTGCAACTTGAATATACGAAGAAGGAAGAATATCGCCGAGTTTGCTCGTAATTAGCGTAGCCGCGTTACTACATCTCATCCTTTACCCCACACCCTTTCGTTATAGTTCCTCTGTCCTCGTTCATCTACCCAACTCTCAATACGACGTGTTCTCCGCTCTCCTCTTTCGCGAGATGTTCCTTGCGCCCAGCTGTCTCTCTCGATCGTTTCGTTACTACGGATGGGACCAAGCTCAACGTGTACTTGCGAGTCCGAGTTAACCACTGACGTCCAATTCTAAGTTTCGTTTCGTGGCTTTGGCAAGTGACTGTACTTGTAATGTCAGTCGAGTTCGTTGTAATTCACTGCACAAGTTCGATGCATACACGTTCCATATCACTTTACAGATATGTATAAATCTCATCAATTTCAATGCCTACGTTAATTGGACAAGTTCAAATTATACGATGCACACGTTTCATTGCAATTCAATGTATAAGTTTCTCCTATACAATGTATGCATTTTATCAAATTCAATGTATACTACAATAGTACACATTTTATACAAACTTGAACATGGACTTCGAATGTTAACCTCTTGCGGTGGAATGACGTGAATTTAAAGAAAGGAATGATAAGTTTATTACTTCTTGACAATTTACATCCAGTGATATCATACCGACGAGTTCAAAGTGAAGGAGAAAGCGACGGAATTATTGTATACGGTTCGGTCACTCGTTATGGTCCGCGAATCAGTTGCCAGCGCAAGGGGTTAAAAATAAAAATTTTTCACCGAGTGTAATGTACTGCATTCGAGAATTGCCAGAACTACTTTCATTATTAATTGCCATTATAATTATTAAGTTTATATCATTGTTCGTTATTATTACAGCGTATGTCTCCATTACGTTTATTTTTATTAAATATCTTAATTTCTAAATTTTATTAGGTATCTCCATTGCTAATCGTTGCCTTCGAGAATTATTATTGATCAAATTAATTTCCTTTGATTCTTCATTACTATTATCGGATCAACCGTCATATGTACACGTATGTACATACGTATCAAAGGTTCGAGTCTGCTTTTGAGGCACTCGATCCCATCTCTACTCGTTACATACAGAGAGGGCCGTTTCTTGCGCGCGCACACCGCTGGAATTCGAGGATGATAATTGAAGCCGAGGCTGATGTCTCTAACGATCTTGCGGTGGCTCGACTTTGACAAGTTGCGCGCGATATATATTGATCATCGCCACACCATGCACGTATACGAGACAATTGTTAGTTTGCGCGGTTGCGGCTGACATTGGCTTCGTCATTTGTCGAAATGGGATCCACGGACACCGCGAAATTCGCCATTCGAACGCAAATTGCCGGTATCTCTTCCGAGAGATCCGGCTGAATTCCGGCGGAGAGTTCCTTCGGTGCATGTTAACCATCCGCAATGTCGTGTAACTCGGAAATTATGTGTTCGCGTAATCATATTTTAGAAATACTTATCGCTTCGCTCACTCTCTCCCATCGACGTATAATATTACTGCGAAAGTATCAGACGAATTATTTATATAACAATTACTAGTCCCAAGATTTGATATTGGGAATCTTTTCCTTGAAATTCCAAGGAATTCTGGTTAAAGGGAAGATAAATTAACGGTAATTGTCGCAGTATGATCAAAGGAAAATAAATTTTGGAGAATTTTCAACGTGAGACTGAAACATTTAATATCTTAATCTACTTTGGTCGAAATGTTAGACGCATTTAAACTTTATCAAACGAAAGATCTAAATATGCGCCGCGTTGAAAGTTTCAGAAGCATTGAATGGCTCGTTTATCAAACGAGTGTCATTATTTTTGCCATTTCCTGCGTATCATTCCCACTTCAAACGCTCGTTACGCGGCGTGCTTCGTATGTATGTATGGACGTGGGTCACGGAATTTTACGAGAGCAAGCAAACACGTTGCTGATTTAATAATATATAGTTCATTTAACAAGTAATAATATACAATTCGTAGACGAGTAATAATATATAGTTCATTTAACAAGTAATAATATACAATTCGTACAAAAAATATAACAATCAGTACAGTTTCATTACTCGTTGCAATTTCATTACAGAAATTTTCCTAAACACGAAGCGAGAAATTGAAAAGTTGAGAATAAAGTAATTCGTTAAACAGTAAAAATTAAATTCAATTGTTGGTGGTAGACTGCAGATTTTTGTGCAAATTTATATTTTAATAAATCACAGCTAAATAAATAAAACGAAAATTTCTCTCATCTAAATATTAGAAATTTGCTTTGAATATTTTATATATTTTTCTATATTAAATGTGCATAGATACATCAAAATCTGCAGTCTAATTATTCTGGCTAAACTCGAGGAAAATATCTCGTTGGAATCTGACAGCTACGTAATTAACCACTTTGTATCATGTACCTACAAAGAGAACTTCGCAGTACCGCGAATTTACGGTGGTTCAAAGTTTAAAATACCACTGGTGCCAAGCATTTCGCTGTGACATAATTGATGACGCACGAAATCTTCCTCTCTAGATACAACTTCAAACCTACCAGTCAAGAAGGTTATACATTTTTCAAGAGAGTTCAGATCGTAAATACTTCCTGGGAAATTGAAACTGAAACAACTTTTTCTCTA